AAAGAATTTCAGCTCTCTATGAGTATCTTGGATGTAGTTTTGAATTTTTCTTTTTATGCTAGTTTTCGTTAGGAAAGTTAGAAAACTGGTCATAACTTTTAAAGGAAAAGCCGTCGGCCGAAATTCTTTTAGGCTTTTTACTTACTCAAAGTCCCCTATGGAATGATGTATGAACGAATGAAATCGGAGCGAGGCACCTGAAAATGTTCCCTCGTTAGCGCCTTCCCCTTATAACTTTGTATGACCATTAACCCTTGATCTTTGACCCGGCACAGACACACAGGCAGACACACACTGAACATTATATATATAGATATTGGTTCATTTTAAGTTCCTTAGTATTTTTCTTTCTCTCCTGGCAAGTGTATTCGATATATGATTAGGAACACGAATTGCTGCTCCTACTTTTATGACTTTCTTCTTATCGCATTATCAGTTGTTAAATATAGAGAAATATGAAAAAAAAAACGTCCAAGGAAGAAACAAACACGTGCACAAAGACATAATTCATTTTGTTGATAGATATAGCATCGTTATCATGATATCATAGCAAGAAGATATTATTCGACGAAACGTTTTCAAAATCAAACAAGTTTCACGCGTCTATTTGATTAATCCATAATAAATTGCGCCATAAACGAGCTTCTTTCTCTACTTTCTTCTAGTATTCAGGCAAAAAATTGTTGACAAAGCAGCGTCATATACAGATAAATTGTTTTGGGGAAAAAAATCTGGCCAACGTCGATTACGCATTTTAAAAAAACTTCTGACAATCAATCTGCCAATCATATTCGGTTTCAAGTTTCTAATCAAATTGCATTGATGGGTGCGGCTGCTGGGTTATTTGCAAAATTATGGTCACCTCAAGAAATCAAAACAAGATTCTCAGACATAGGCAAAGGAACGATTGAGGTTGAAAAAGGAGACATAACAGCCCAAAACGTAACAGGACGAACACTATTACGAATGCGAAAATTTTGATTTTGTTGTTTGCCTTGTATTTTTATAGGTTGATGTTATTATAGGAACCTCATCATCAGTAAATCTGAAGAATGCAATATTAGATGCGGCTGGCACGGCAGCAAGAACTGCGTATAATGCTGAACTTAGCAAAAATCTGCAACCCATATTGATATCTATTCCATCTGGTGGACTACCTTGTAAAAAAATCTTTCTTATTAAGTGGAGACCGGAACAAGATGAAGCTAAACTTCGGAAATCAATTGCTGATTTTATAAGCATTGCTATCATATATGTTATTGAACATGGTTTTACTTCAGTAGCATTTCCGGCTATTGGCTGTGGCGGCCATCAATGTTCTACAGATCTTGTAATCACGACAATGGTAAAAGAAATAATATATCAGATACAATTGCAAAAAGAATCATTGTTGGTGAAAATCATAGTGCAAGCCGAACATCAGAATATTTATGAGGCATTTTGTAAAGAAATTCCAGCTGTGAAACCAGGTAAAGTTAACATTCTTCTGTTTCGGTTTCACATGTTTTATTATTTGAGTGAGAAGAATTTCAAGAAACTTTATAGCGAAGTTTTTTTTCGAATAGGCTTAACAAAGTCCAGCGATGTCCACATTATGCGAAAGGTACAATTTACTGGACATCGTCTAGAATTGAGACAACAATAGATAAATCACTTTATTCAACGATCTAGATCTATGACTGTGTATATCTTTCACTATCTTTTCATGCGAACTTGAAACGGTCAATAAAAAACGAATGTACAAGGACATCACTATCCTACAGATGCTTCGATGTAACTTTTAGATTACACTCTGTGACCCTATGCACGAGCATCTATTGTGCGATTTCTAGCACACATCATATGGCGATGTAAACATCACACAATCATAGCAGAACTTCAACATAGAGCTCCAATTTTAATGGCTTCGAAGCGCAATGAAATTGAGTAAAAAGATGAACGAAACTTGTTAGCGAGGTCAATTCTACGTCACTTCGACAATAATTTCGCTAGAAATCCTTGACTATGATCTCCGAGCACACAAAATGTGTGACAATGCTTGTAAAGTGTATGAGAGCATGCGAAGAGTCATCGTTTGTTCGTAGGATGGTTGAGACATTCATCATGGCGATTTTAAGTCAATTTATAGTAGAGGTTTATAATGTAATAGCTTTAGATCGATGAATATTGGGATTTCCATATATTTATCTCAATTATCCCTGTTTTGCGAAACACGAAAATACGATTGGGAATGAGCATTGATTAAAATTTGAATTAAAATCTCACACGTACTGCAGCAGACTTTTCGACATACTGCTCGTTTGATCTTCTCATGGATCGTGATCAACATAACGAGGTTCTATACGTACATTGAAAACGATACCGTCGTGTTTCACATTTTAAACCCATAGGAACTATATTGCAAACTTTTTCGCTCAATTCCAATTCTTTGAAGAAGCTGGGCAATCGTCAACATTTTTCTAATAAAACTTCGGTTCTGCCGCTTTGTGGCTGCTACTCCAATGAGTATCAAGAAAAATCACTTAACCTTCGGTGTGTATTTCATTAGATTCGGTAGCATTTGTTAATTACCAGCTACCAAAAACCTGGATTCGATCGACAGAGGGTACAGTACGAATTACGGTATTGAACACTACTCCCGAGTATGAATCACTCTGTACCATGTTTCAACAAGCAATGAAAGGAAAATGTAAACAAGTGGTAAGAATTGAACGAATTCAAAATGAACAGTGGTACATACAATATATAGCACATAGCAAAGGATTTTGTAGAAAACTAAACAAGAATACGGAGAGATGTTTATATCATGGTTGTTCTCACGAAGCAGCGGATTCAATCATCAAAAGTTGTTTTAACAGAAGTTTCGCTGGAGTGCATGGTAACACTAAATCCACTATTGTTTTGACTATTTCAATCTCATGTAGTTTATCTTTAGGTACTGCATATGGCAA